TTAAGTTTTGTGACTTAATATCAACGTAGTCATGGGGACGGCCCTTGTAGGTCCCGTGGTTCGCGCAGGTATTTTTATAGTTGGATGTTACAGTGTACGTATAAAGCCTGCCGAAGGGCTGTATGAACCTGAGACGAGAAAAGGGTATAAAAAGTGTGTCTTAAAAGAAAAATATAAAGCCAACAATAATGCGCGCCACATATAGCTCAGAAGTAGGTGGTTCGTCTTGGAAAAGATCGTAAAGAAATTTTTGAAATTTTGGTTTAAAATTGGCACAGTCTCATAAGGTTGAACCTACACGCACACTTTAAAATGAGTGCCAACGATCCCAATATAGTGGGTCCCCCACATAGTGAAGAGGACTGAAACGCACATTGGCGAAACCAGACACATACACACACCTAACACACGTAGGGTCAGACAGACAAGAACATTGAGATCTTCTCTGTCACGAAAACACACAATATTTGCCTTTGTCCAAAAAAAAAAAAAAAAAAAAAAAAAAAATCTTAAAGGTACATACGAACCGAGCATCGGTGGAGCGTGGATTCCCAGTAACACATGTAAACCACTTCTACTAGTTTCTTGCACGACTCTAAAAATTCGACATGCCAAGGGATAAACTGAATAAATCACCCGATCAGCCATAAAAGAGCTTTAGAGTGCTCCTTTCTTAAAATTTTTGGTTGTCAATTTAACCTACTTTCGTGACCTACTTTTCTGCCCCATTGACATACAGCATAGAATGCTAGCAGAAAAATCTGTTCAAACATCACTTTCGGGTAAAATTAAACCTTTTGGTAATTGTCTTAGTTATACTACTTGAAACTATATGCTGGCATTTGGTTGGTTTTTATGACAAAAAATTGACTTTGTATGTATCTTAAACGAAAGGCCATATGGTCGCCCTAGGGTCAGGCAAAAGAGCCCGTATGGTAACTACATGGTAGGAGTATCGGCAGGTAATTCTTGTCGGAAACCGAAATTTGCCAGTCCAACGGACACACAGTGCTCCTTCTCAGAAACTAGAGATAAGTCTTCTTGGAAGAAATGTGTTTTTCCATGAATATCGCTAACAAGTTACTTGGCAAGTATTTTTAAAATCCCGGTATCATAGTAGTATTATATTACCAGACGTATGCGTATGTCAATTCCGCTGCTATATAGGGCTTAATAACATACAAAATAGGCACGGTGCATGTCATTTTTGCATGTTAAGGGGCGTCTAAAAGACGCACACGAAGGCTCCTATGGGCCATGGTATTACCTTATATGATCAGAGTGAAACCGCCGCGCAACAAAGGTCATTTAACTTTTGGGCGATCGCTTACTTGCGCACCATGCTGATCCGAGTAGGAGTTGGTTCTTCTGTCAGCAGAAAGTCAGGCATGACAATTATCCTTTATCAGGGTCACACCTTGATTTCTCACTAGATACAGTTATGTCTCTGGCTAATTCATGACAAAATTCGTTACTCTCATTGGAAAGTACACATAATTAATCTGCGGTCCTGATAAAGGGATAAATTACCCTACGGCGTAGGGTAGGATACAATTGTTGAAATAAACCGAACACTGCATGGAGGCAATGTTATTTCCATGGTTGCCGCGACAGGGCGTTAAGGACAAACATTACCTGTAGCGTAGGGTAAGCTTACTTTTCGCCGGCACTAGGAAACTCGAAAATTCTTTTTTTTTTTTTTTTAGATTTAACAATGATATGAATAGGTATACTAGCAACCCCAATACCATGGGATGGGCTCGAGGGAAAGGCAGTCAGGCAATTAGTCTCTGGACCAGTTTTTGAATGTTCGTGTGTAATAAATGAAAGTTACACATAGAACCTATTAAATATCGTTAGTAGGGCGAGTGCCAAACCTCCCTTCACCGTTTCAGTCGTGTATAGCCTATGATTTGTTACATGCGTACCGGTAGAGCTGATTAAAAAATGACAATTGATTAAATAACTCTTCAGAAATAGACACATAGCTACACTGTAACTGTCAGTAGACGAAAGGGGTGAGGGCCATGTAATATGGAGAAGGGTAGATTTAGAGCTGCCATCTTCAAATACTAAACTATTTCAGGTCCTCCCAACTTAGACATCACACCTAATGTACTCTCTCCATTAATTTTAGTAGTTGTAGCTTACATTGGAATGCGTCTAGCATGAATAGAAAAGGGAGATGCGCTAGTACTCAGTGGCCTGGGATTGGTTTCACTATAACCTTTGGGTCCTGAAGTTAAGATAAAAGATTGCAGTACATTGGGGTCTGGGTTACATCAGTAATAATCTAATTAAATTATTAAAACAAATAATTGTTAGTGTTTCTCTGAAGCAGCGAAATTTTTGCCAATCAAGCCAAAAAATTGTCTTTCAGTAACTGATTAAACCCACGCTGCTTTAAAGTAGACCGAACTTTTTGTCTTAAAACCAACATTCTGTTTCATGTTTCGTAAAACCACCCCAAAGGACATCAGTAGGATATATATTCAAGTAAAGAGAGGTCAGTTCAGATGCTCGACTTGCTCATTTTAAAAAGAAGTGTGGCATTATGAAAGGGGACACCTTCCGGACCTTCATACGTAGGGCACCTGACAAAGCTGATAGACAAGAAAGGCAATTTTTATATCTTCATCGAGAGATCGTTCGCAATCCAAAAGAGGCAAGAAGGCAATTTTCATATTTATTCAAGAGACTTCGTTAGCTGAAGATCGGGAGCAAGAGATAGTTACCGACCGCAGCGAGACGAGAAGGCAATTTTCATATTCGTTCAATGGACTTCGTTCGCAGAAGATCGTCAGCCTGCGATTGTTCGCGATCCGAGCGAGAAGAAAAAGCAATTTCAGATTCATTCAAGGGCGTTCTTTTGCGAAAGAGCGTCACCGTGAAATCGTTATCGATTATTTTTAACCCTCCTCCCCAATGATTTTTTCATTTACATTTTAACCCAGACCTCACCCCGCTCATGGCACTTGGAAAGGTTTGACGCCCTGAAATTTTGAAGGAAATTACAAATGGCAATTTTGGACGGCCTATACCCCAATCCTGGAAAAAAACGTTGGTTCTGGGTGAAATAATATACTGGAACTTGATTATATTGTGGAAATATTTTAAACTTTAAGTGATGATTTTATAACTGGTGAAAACTAAGCTATTATATTTGGCAAATATTATTTAAACTGCCCTTCATCTGTTGCGTAAGTCTACATTTAGCTGTACATGGGAATTTTGAAAATCCAGTGCGTACAATTTTAAAAGGTCTGGTCACGCCCCTGCGATGGGGTAAGGCATTGTCATGTTAGAACAGAAAGTCACGACCAAGATGTGATCTAGCATACCAGTTTTGTCGTCGAAACCTGGCTTCAGACGTCACCACCATTTACCTTGTCGTTTAGGATCAACTGATCCAACATGGACTGACCCACCACTGTAAGCAACAGGTTCCACCATGCACACAGCCTTAAGCAAACCTCTCCCAAACTTGGCACCGAACACAGAGCTTGCCATCAAGAGAATGAAGAATGAATATTGATTTACCAGAAAGCCAGACTTGCCTCCTGTGACCATGATGGCGGTGATGAATTTGACGGTTCCATTCTGGTTCTTTCTCTATTTCTCGGTCAACAAGGATGTCTAAAGAGTTCTTGGCCTCAGAACATGACTTAAAAGTCTTCTGTTAACTGTACTTCTGGAAACCTTCGATTCGATGCGTTGTTGTCATTTCCCGGTGCGAATCAAATGATGCCAACAAGCTCTTATGACGACACATCTGGAGTTTTCGATCTTCTTTAATAGGAAAGATCAATTCTGATGCATGATCTCATGTGTTACGAAGCCAGCTATATGTTTAATTATTTTCAGCTTTAATAGATAGCACCCTTTAATGAAAGCACCCTTTAATGAAAGCTACATCTGCCAAGAGTTTACTGCAGTAGAAAAAACAGTTTTACCGATTTATATTATTTGTGGACGCAATTTAAGCTACATAAGTTGTCCATGAGTCTTTGGCGCGTCTAACATGTATGTTTAACACTGGCTGTGTTAAATGGCATAGAGTATATCGATACGAGACTATGGGTGTTTTTTTTTTTTGTTTTTTTTTACTTTCCTTTTTTTATATACAGGTATATATATTTTAAGTCAAAACAAGTCACATAATGATTGGAATGGTTAATTATTCGTTGCAAACGTTTTCGCCTCTTTCAGGCCCTTCAGACAATAAAATGACTCTGTATTTATTGTTACTAGACAACTGTCTTGTCTTTTGTCTTATCTTAGAGACAGTGACAAATTTTTTTTCTTTGTTGCATAAACAGTGTTAGACATTCCAATAATTGATTGTCAATTGTTGTTCATTAATTTTATTAAGTTAAATTGTAATGATTATTTTTCATTTAACATATGCTTGAATATATCTGTATGAAATACGTTTCCCTTGCCCTGCGTTCATTTTCATCTTTCGAATTTACTTTAAAGAATGGGAAGATCCTAAGTTTTCCACGCCCACATTTTTCAAAGTCTTCTGAGCAGGGTCTTTTAACTGCTGTTTATGAACTCGAATTCTATCTATAAATCTGCTTGTCTGGACATAGACATATTTCTGTGTAAATGTTGTTCATAAATTTTATTAAGTTAAATTGTAATGATTATTTTTCATTTAACATGGGCTTGAATATATCTGTATGAAATACGTTTCCCTTGCCCTGCGTTCATTTTCATCTTTCGAATTTACTTTAAAGAATGGGAAGATCCTAAGTTTTCCACGCTCACATTTTTCAAAGTCTTCTGAGCAAGGGTCTTTTAACTGCTGTTTATGAACTCGAATTCTATCTATAACTATATATATATATATATATATATATATATATATATATATATATATATATATATATATTCTAGTGGCATTTTTCTAAGAGGAAAGTAGTGATTTTAACCGAATAATCATATACCTATATTTTCACCATTTTACATGATGTCATTTTTTTTCTTCTTTACAGACTGAGTCTTTGAAACAAGGCTTTTAGACTGTGTTGATTTTCGACGCACATATGGATACCTGCTCTTCGGTTAGTTAGTTCAGACTTAAAAGTGATATCGTCTCGCAAAAGATTTGAACTAGTTTCTACAACACATTCATAGGAGATGGAGGGCTGGCCATTTATTTCGGTAAACGTCACTGCTCAAGACCAGTCGGCAGAGATCGCGGTTGCAGTTTTCCCTTTAAACAACACAATGGAAAACACGACCGACAATCCACTTTCAAATGTTACGGCTCCGGCAGTCAATATTGCACATAAAGTCATTTCCATCACCTTGGGATTCCTGATATTCTTGGTGGGAATCCTGGGAAACGTGCTAGTTATCTGGGTGGTTACCCGAACCAAGACGATGCACAGCACCACGAATTGTTACTTGGTGAGTCTCGCCGCCGCTGACTGTATAGTGCTCCTCACTGCCACTTTGCCGTTCACACTAGGACAGTTCTACAAATATGGGATCATACCATACGGGATTGTCTCATGTGCCCTGTTGACATTTTTTAGTTATATGGGAATCAACGTGTCTTCTTTATCTATAACAGCGTTCACTGTAGAAAGATACATAGCCATATGCCATCCGATGAAAGCTTATACTATATGTACCATCTCACGCGCCAAAAAGATCATCATTGCTTTGTGGGTATTCAGCGCGCTCTACTCTGCACCTTGGTTAGCTCTTACTAAAATCACTCCTATAAATGAAGTCAATGAAACGACGTTCAATAACTGTGACTATAAACTCAAGAGAGACCATTACTTTGTATATTACTTGGTGGATCTTGTAATGTTTTATATTCTTCCGCTGTGTCTCACCGCAGTGCTGTATTTCCTGATAGGGAGGGTCTTGTTCAGCAGCGAGAGGACGGGGGCTGTGGCGGATAGTATTAGACGACGCAATCGCAAGAATGAAAAAAATCGAGAAGAGATGGGGTCCATTCATAAAAAATCTTCTACAAGAAGCGAACAAAACCCGTCTTCTAGGATACAAGTAGGCATTGTGTTATTTATTAGTTATGAAAAGTGTATGTGTGGATGGTGACTAAATATCTTGATCTCGGTGAATGACGCTTTTAGTCAAAATGACTAACATGCTTTTTTAACCAGGTGAGCAAATGCCGGGGGGGGGGGGGGGGGGGGCACTCAGCAGAGCCGTTCACCCAAAAATCCGTTTATCTGGTCATTACCAACTGGAAACTGAAGGTTTACGTACAAGTGATTATACCAACTGGAGAACGGATTTGCGCTGGGTGAACGGCTTTCCTGCTGGAATAATGGAAACCAGCTTGGAAAGGTGAATGGATCGACCACTCCAGGCCACCCCGTCATGATTGTCAGTAACACCCTGAAACATGTTATCTTCATTTAACATTCGCTTAAGAACGATTTGGAGAAAATATTTGTTGGGTGCTACTGCAAATAAGCCTATAGTCTCACTGAGAGCATTCACATCGAGAAGAGCCGAGGTCTAGCAAGGCCGAGACCTAAATATGGCGGACCTACATGAAAGGAAGCCCGCGTAATCCTTTAATTATCTCTCAATGACATTCATTGACATCCATTGTCTTGCATTTTTATTTTGATAGAATCATGATGTATAATTAAATGAGCTGATATCGCATTGTTAGAACATTTAAAGCAACAGAAATAATTTCATAGAGCCTGTTTTGAACTGAATTAACTAACTGAATTAAATCAAAATTCAGTGGCAAAATCATAAATATAGAAAGTTAGATTATCCATGGTTTCATTATTGAACGACTTGGAATTTTATCTGGAATTAAGGCGATCGAGAAAGATATTATAGGATGAATTGTCTGTCAATGAAATGATACACGTTGATGACGCATTTTCAAAACTTGAGGCGAACAACGAAGTCATTGAAAGAAACATTCTTTTCAATTCAAGTATGAGAGCGTTTCAGCAATATCGAGTTGTCTCTCTGTAGTCCATTTCCATTCCACCGGAAAAATCCGTTTATCTGGTACATGTAGAATAATTTCCCCTTTGACAAACTATGAAATAAGAGGTTAATTATGATGAGACATCATGGGGTCAGTTTCACAACTGGATTGTTACCTGATACTGTAGAATTTTTAGACAAGGCTACGATTTCTCATAAATCTCGCCTGGCTGCCAACTGGAAACGGATGAACGGACATTTGAATGTCGCTGACAGGATGTCTGCTGTCTAAAGCTCATCCTTTATCCCATGCCATGATAGCATTGCGTAAAAGAATAATTTCCGAAAAGTATCATTTCCAATCAATTGATGCTGCCATTTTCCTATCTTCGGCTGATTAAGTTGTTTCTGTCAAGTAGCAGTTCAGATAATAGGCTGGTAATGGTAACCAAAACGTGTAATCAAATTGCGCATCATCAGTTATGTTTATTGCATATGACAGTTCATTTTTTAATTTTTAAGAGGGGTATGGTCAGTTTTACTTACACGAGCCCGATTGTAAAAATCGCACAACCTGTTTTCCATGCATAAGATATTCCAGATAGTTAATTTTAACTAATTCATTGTGATTGAATACTTGGATTAATTCATATTTTAATTGATTTGTGCCTGTCTATACCCACCTTCTGCCCAACTGTAAGTGCTGGTGCTCGGCCCAAGGTTAAATGCACATCCATAATGACGTCATGTTGACTAAGTAAAACTAAGTGCCTTCAAGTGCTTTTAAGTCTTGTATTCTGATTAGTATTTCCTTCGCCCACACAACTTGAACATCGAAAAGCAATAGAAAAGCTTGGATCGCTTTTCTACAAATGTAGCTCTTTATAAAAATCAGCGATGCTTTTGCAAATTCTGTTTCCTTTGCAGATATATATTACTGAGCAAAGACCGAGTGATCGAAGATTTAAGTTGTTAAGTCAAGAAAAAAGCAGTTGTTTGTAAAGGCCACAACCACATAATCGATACGTATAAAAGGCTTGTGCAGACAGAAAATGCAATTGCATACAATCCATCCTCTTTTGGGTTAAGCTGTAGAGCCGCATTTTGCAACCGAACGCAAAATGCCTTTATGCGTTCAGTTGCAAAACGCGGCTCTACAAAATATTTTCTATGTTTCTACAATGCGGGGACAGTCGGTTACCAAAGTCGGTTATGAGTAAATGCCTGGGCGCTGAAATATGTTTTTCTTTTGTATCCAGATAGACTTCTGTACGATAAGTTCTTAGTTTGAGCAAGATTTCCTTCACACTTAACGCTTAAATTCAACATTCTCCAATTCTAAACTGTTCCTCAGGTTGTGAAGATGGTAATGGTGATAGTGGTTTTATTTGCCTTCCTGTGGCTTCCATATCGGGGACTAATGGTTTACAACTCTATGACAGACCGCCCGAAAACGGATATCTGGCTTCTCCTATTGTGCAGGACGCTTATTTCTATAAACAGCGCAATAAACCCCATAATTTACAACATCATGTCTACTAGCTTTCGAGAGGCCTTAAGAAGAAGTATGTGAAACATCTGTGTTCAATGGCGCATGAAATTTTATGTATGTAATGCCCCTATTTCACACAGACCACGAATCCCACGAATGGCCATGAATTGACAAATTTCACGATTCGTGGTTGAATCGTAATCAGTTCGTGAAGTTCTTAACAGATTCGTATATATTCGTAGTCAGTTCTTGCACTTATTGGCCAACAGGAATTGGTGGCAAAAACTTTGATGCCCCTATTTCACACAGACCACGAATCCCACGAATCGCCAGGAATTGAAGATTTCAGGATTCGTGGTTGAATCGTAATCAGGTCGTGAAGTTCTTAACAGATTCGTATATAATCGTAGTCAGTTCTTGCAAATCTTGATCAATCGGGAATTCGTGGCAAAAATTTTGAGCTGTTCAAAGTTCTGGCCACGAACTCCCGATTCCATAAAATCGTAATGAATTTCTGGACAATATTCGTGCGATTCCAGCCGAATCCCACGAATATTCGTAACACTATCGCACCTGTATCGTAACTGAATCGTAGAGCGTGTCAAACTAGACCAGAAAATTGGCAAAATCTCACGATTCCAGCCGAATCCCACGAATATTCGTAACACTATCGTACCTGTATCGTAACTGAATCGTGAGCGTGTCGAATTAGACCAGAAAATTGGCAAAATCTCACGAATCCTCAAGAACCCTCACGAATCCTGAAATTTGTCAATTCTTGGCGATTCGTGGGATTCGTGGTCTGTGTGAAATAGGGGCCTAAGATAGAGATTTTATAAATGTTAGACAGAGATATCAGTAGAGCTGTTTTAAGATAGATCTGCTTCAAGCCTCGCTACGGCATCATAATAACAGGATTTCCAAAAGGCACAACTAAACCATGTATGTAGTAAAATGCATGATATTTGTACTGTATGAGGCAGAACCCTGCTAACTAGTGCATATACAGTATATATATAAGAAAACCAATTGAAACAACTTCCTCCGTTGTTTATTCCATACACTGCTTTTAGGATTGTTGTATTGAATAGCAGGAACCATAGCAATTTAGGAGTCATTGTAAGAAAACAATTATTATAAGGGAATATAGCATGAATTTACAAGTACGTTATATATCGTGAGATCTGCACCTCTTCGTTTTTTTTCTTTGGCATGCAGTTTCTGGGAATATGATTTTCTGTTTGCTCCAGTCAACATCCTTTACATGTATGCACTGTTAATATTTCGTCCACGAAATGCACTTATGCACAAAAGTAATATGATTTATGCACATTGACACGAGTATTAGCAGAAACAACAAAGGGTTATGATGTGTATTCCAAAAGTAGTGACTAGAGTTTGCTGCTTTGTATTATTTATGGTTGTGTTATCCTGATACTGTTATGTTTATAACAGCATGAAATTTCATTAATCAAATTTTTAATGATTTTCTCCTATGTAAAAACAGGCTATGTAAAATAAAAACAAATATCTGATATGATTGTTAGTTTTAGAATGTTACAATTTAGTCTAATTTGTAATTGTTGGTATTCATTGAAAGGGTAGTGAAGTTTCAAATTTTGAGTATTTATCTTTCTTATTACATAATACTTTCTATGATTTAAAATATTAAATGGATTTGTCATTGGCAATATTCATTAACTACAGTAGCTTTTGTGACCATATAATTAAGCATAAAATTGTCCTTAAAGACAAACATACTGCTGCTAGTTAAAATACACATGCAATGTATACTCTAAGCATTCTATTTGATCTTGTTTAATCTCTTTCTTTTCTAGATCGTCAAAATGCTAGCCGTTATTGTGGTTCTCTTTGCAGTCCTGTGGCTTCCCTATAGAGGTCTCGTCGTGTACAACTCTGTTTCATCACGCCCGTTCTTAAATGAATGGTTCGTACTGTTTTGCTTAATGATGATCTTTTTGAACTCTGCCATTAACCCCATTTTGTACAACGCCATGTCGAAAAGGTTCCAGAGAGCGTTTAAGAGACTCCTGTGCCGCTCTGCCGTGAAGAGAAAGTTTGGGACAGGGTCAAACATTCACACAACGTTTTCTGAGCTGCAAAAAGAGGACTCAATTTACAGATGATATCCATAAATGAATTTTTCAAGAACACCAGTGTCTGACAATGATTACTAACGTAATAAGGTACACTTGGAAGTACGTATAATGTCTTTACACTGTTCTTGATACATGTCCCAGTATGTCGTACACTCATGCAATGCAATGATCAATAAACGATTTGCAAGTCGAAAGTAGACAGAAATCCTCAAGTAATGCAGAATAGTTGGTTAGAGTAGTGCACACTGTATAACAGGTCTCAGGCCCGTAGCCAGCAATTTCAGAGGGGGGGGAGGGGTTCGTTTTCTGAAAAAGTGGACCTTTTACCATAAAATCCTCAAGTAAATAGATCTAATTTTACCCAGAGTGGACCTTTTCCCAGCAAAAAGGGCGGTTCTTTCGAACCCCCCGAAACCCCCCTGGCTACGGGCCTGGGTCTAAACATAATGACAGGCTAAGTGTACTCTTGTGGCACAGTAACTTGATCAGTTTTGAAGAGTGGCATTGTATCGAATAATGCATGAGGGAGAGTTTTATTAACTTATGTATATGTGCTGTTCGCATTGGAATCACTCAAGGAACTTTTTTAAGATAATCCAGCGGCGTCACATGAAGCTTTGTATGCTACCAGGCATCAGCACAGGTCGTGTTCGGAAAACTACAGCCTTGAAGGACCGCATACTAGCATTCTACCAGAAGTGTCGTCAAAAGAGAATATTGTAAGCATTTTTTTTATGAGGAGCAGAATCACAGTCAAATCACAGTCAAAACTCGAGTTTTTTAGGGGAACAAAGAGACTGGTCAATAAACCCTACAGAAAGTAGATGAATCGGTACAAGTACCTCGAAGAATACATATACCTGTAGATATCGTCAGCCACTTAATGGCAGCTACTACGCGAGATACTAACCTATTTAACTGACTAAATTCTTAATGACTCTGCTATTCCTTTCGAATCCATGCTTCAATGAACATGTGGCTTCATTTCCCTGTAAATCGTCAGTAATTTATCAAGTTGATCATTAGTAGTCACCCAGCGTAAAAAAGAACACTTGTGAATATGATGTAATTTGAAGGTAGAATTCGAAAGTATAACACAGCGCTAGGATTGATGAGCTGGTTGAATGGAAAATTTTGTTTTAGTTTTTAACTTATTGGAATCGCAGATGCAATATTCTTTCAGAATAGTTAGCCATTTCAGCAAGCGTGTTTGTATACATTAAGAGCGAATGCACTGTTGAAAATTAATTCTCCTGTTATGAAAAGCAAGTCGATTATCGATTTACTGTCGAATAAATAGTATGTAACATGTACAGTGGGTATATTTACAAAATATTATTTATACAATTACTTGTATCGTTGAAATTACTGGTACGTGTGGGTTCGCACATTTCAGTTATCAGTAGAACATCCCCAAAAGTGTGAGAGGTCTGCGCAAGTCTCATCGTATGTTGATTCACATGGCATTAAAACCAGTCGCAGATCCACGCGTAATTCTCCGCTTTTTCAATATTTGTTTGTCGTTCTTAAACGTTGTTTTTGGTAATGATGGATTTTCATTTCACGTATATCATCAATTGTATTAAAGGCTTTTGATACTCAATATGCATGTATTAATATATACATATACGTTTCTGGTTTGGAGACGACAAATGAAAAGTTTCCAGGTGTAAAATGGACTATCGTATTCAATCCCCGTGGTAATACGTATGTGTGCCCTATTATTTTATGCATATATTTATTTATTTTTGATGAATTACGTTACTGTAAAGAGAAGTTTCAACAAATACTAATGTAATTATGTTTTGTAAAAGGCTTGTGGATGTTATACACGGTATACAACTATATATTCATATTGGGTTCTATCTTCAAATTCATATTGTTGGATACAGGTATGTGCAGTACATGTAAAATGCAATACGCTTTTAGTTACGATCAGATGAACATACAGTATTGCTACCCTCTACCAGGGCGACAACAGACCAAAATGACCGTCTATGTATCTAGAGACATATCTGTGAATATCTATGGAAAATCAATCTGTCGCCCTGGTAGAGGGTACAGTATTGCCCTATATTGAAAAAAGTTTATACGTTATCATAGTACATTTTGATTTTACTTCCCAATCTGCTGATTGATTCCTTGGATAAGTTATTTAAATTGAGATCTATTTAAAGTATGTGATATGATATTTTAGTACGTAAATATGTGTCAATTAAAATTAATTCCAGTCTTTGGTATAAGCAATTCGGCCGTGAAAGTGACGACAATAAAAAAATGTCTTCTAGAGCGTGGTAATTTGGGAAATTTTAAGTCCAGTCACTTAATTAAGGAAATGCAAAAGGGCAGCTCTAAAATACAAGGGTCCGCTTTATCGAAGGCCCGCTATTCCGAAGGTTTGAGGGTCGGTTATTCCGAAGGCCCGCTATTCCGAAGGTCCGCTATTCTGAAAAACTTGATTGATGCGATAGCGGCGCTTAAACGAATTGTATTAGTTGCGTAATACCTCCGTGTTAAAGAAGCGACCGGTTGTTTTGTAATTGCAGAAGTGCTACTCTGCACTCTGATTACTTCTTTCTCCGATCCCTGTATCGGTAGCCATAAAACAATTCACTTTATTATGAATGTATGGCAAAGACCATAACTAAACTGTAGATCACAAGGTTTACTGTGTAAAGTTTGATATTCGGTCGATTTGCATTCTTTATACTAAAAATCTAGATGAACAAGTACCTGTACATGCACCTGTGCGTAAACCGGGTATTCTGCGGATAAGAAATAAAGTAAAGATGAAGTTGCAGATAAAAGACAAATATAAGAGAAGAGTCTAAGGCATCGAATAAATAACAGCTCTCGATGTCTTTGGAAATTGAATAAAGCCGTAATGCTAAATTAAGTTCAGAAATGGCCTACAGTAGCTCCTGGTACATGCAATGTTACATGCATGTACCAGATTTTATTAATGAGCTTTCCGTTCAAAGTCCGCCTAAATTTGAAAGAAATAAAACCACTACTTTATGATATCAAAAATCTGGAAGAAATAAATGAACACCTTTAATTGATATTACGTTATTAATTACGTCTAATAAGATAACACATCAAATATAAAACCCTATACACTTCCCAAAGATATTATTGTCATTTCTGCCATTTGTCCTTCGACCATTTGACCATTGCCTTCTTTCGTCACAGAACAATATTATCCACATTACCAGATAAGTTCCCTTATCTTCATTTTGAGACTGCATTTTAAAACCCAGTAATTTGTATGTTATTGTTTAGAGTACTTATTAGTATTATTCTAATTTCATGAAACTATTTTAGTGAGATCAAGTGAAATTCCTACTTCGGTTTATAAATGTAAATTTCTAAAAAAATTGGCTGCAAAATGCCCCACTGTAGGCCTACTAGTAGCGGGGAAAAGAACTCAGCAATAAAACGTAGGTGCAGTATAAAGTCGAGGTATTTTATCAGATTAGGATAAAACGTTCTCATCCCACACTCAAACTAACTTCTCACCCAGGTGCCACTGAGTACATTACTGATTTTGTCTGTCTGCCAGAGATAAGACACCTGATGAAAGTGAAAAGAAGCATGGAACGAGTACACTGATTCTTTTCATCTTCACTTCAGCAACCCGTCATGCTATACCAGTACTGATTACCTATGTTCATTGGAAATATTACCCCTTCAAAGAAGGTTCACACTGATTTAATTTTATGGATGACAACCGCGCGCCCATAAAATCCCATAAAATTTCCAAAAAAAATCCACTTAAAAAGTTTCCACATATGAAAAGGGAGAAAATGCATGGCAAGTACAGGTAAAACTATCGTAATGAAAATAATTAAAAGTACAGATACAAAGTTGTGATCGTAATGAATACATTGTACCTTTCATAACTGATGCAATATACATTTGTTAAGAGGTTAAACAGTGTAAGTAAGAGAGTTAAAGAGTGCATGTGTTGTTCAATAATAAAAAAGAATAAGGGAGTATAGTTATCATTCCTTCAGGATGATACAATGAAAAATCTGTATTAATAGAAATGGCGACCTAAGGTCAAGCAACATACCATTGCCTAATAAGAGAATGATTATATTTTGGTAATGATGTAATGATGGAAAGTTATGGAAAAAGGGATAATCATAGACATTGTGTAAGAGCTGAGGAATTATTACATTACTAAATAAGGTAATGTAGGAGAAAGACTTTGTGATACATCATGACATTGGAATGATGATCTATAGGATAAAAGAGAATACATTGTAACTGGAAAATAAGAATATACGAATAAATCTTTTAGGCTCCCAAAAGATGTATGTTCTTCATTTATAGTACTGGCAAAATAGAGGTACTATAAAACTTCGTTGCGTAACCTGTGGCTACTTACCTGTAACAGGAGTGGTAGTCCACGTTTCATTAATTTGTACAGGGAAGACATGTCTAGTACGGTATACAAAGCCCAAAACGTCCGCCTAACCTTAACCTGTCCGAATCATATGAGATCCCTAACCATAAAATATTTGATATCTTGTCGAAAACAAACCAACGCCAATTAAAGTAAAACTCCCTTCTTTGGAGGAGGTTATTCGTGTAAATGTATAAATGTATATGTATATGTATATGTACATGTATATCAGAATCCTGTTTATATTAACGTTGCATGGGACCAACACTGTGACCATCAAAAAGTCTGTTTACTACATACAGTAAATACTACATGTATATATATATTTGTTTCATTAATACGGTAAGAAACGAAGCATTATCTCACCGTTCAACGCGTCCAGGAGACATTTTCTTTGGTGCACTTTCTCTAATTTGATTATATTTTTCATTTATCAATGCTCTCATTAATATATACAGGGCGATGCAGTAATAGATCTGCATGGTGAAAAAGTCATACTGTTGCGCCAAGTAATACATTTATCAACCCATTTATAGAGATTAGAAACCATGCAAACGACGACTTTGAGACAACCGTTTTGAAATGGCCTACGGAGATGGACTGCATGTATTTAACCATATTTCATGGACTTCAATCTACCAACTCAGTACGTTACACTGTTTAATAGACTCTATTAACACCCCAATACTGCTTACTGGGTATATGCTGTCATTTTTCTATTGTACAAGATCACGTTCAAAAGCAATCATTGAAATTATTCTCGGTGCTATAAACAAGTGCAATAAAGGGTACCGGAGAACATCAGCATTGGTCAGAATTGTGCCGGAAGTGACGTGTAGTGGTGTAAGACGTAAAGCTGAGTGGTCATTTTTA